ACGCTGATGGAGAAACCACAACTACTTTGAAAATTTTTCCATTGCATAAAGGCTAACTTTTGTTTTCCCCAAACACACACTCCTAAAGAAATTCAAAACACCTGAATGCCTCCGGTGAACTTAGAATGAGGATAATTTCTCTTTTGAAATAATGACTGTCAATACTACAACATCCCCCAAATTTTTTAAGCAAAAAAAAAAAAAAAAAGTATTTTTAAAGAAATCCAGGAATTTTCTATTCAGACATGACAGTTTGTACCCTTCAAAATAAATTTTAAAGACTCAATTATCCCTATAATTTTTTCTAAGAACAAAACATCCAAGATGCAAATAAAGGCTGAAAGTAGACTATTTTCAACTTATTTTCTCTCAGTTTGCTTTCTCAAATGACAACCACTGTAGCTTAGGGATCAAAAGATTTAGGGCAGCTGGGGGTGGGGAAAAAAGCAATTCAGGTCCCCAGCAGCCAGCTGAGGAAATCCTGGTTCGCTCCCCAACTAAATCACTGTTAATTAGAATTACCGGGTTACATAGTAAAGTCTTATTTAAATAATCGTAAACAGCAAAAAAATCTCTTTTCTTGAGAAGCTGTTCTCCCCAGGCTACTATTTAACAGCAGGTAGTAAGGGAAGAATGAAATAAAGTAGGAAATGTTTTAATCTTTCACATAAAAGTTTTCTATTTATAGCTATTTCTAAACCACACTGAAAAAGCAGGTTAGACATCTCACAATGGTTTTCTTCTAATTTTCCGATATCTAAGATAACAGCCTTATCTTTCTCATAAAGACAACCCATGTCGGAAAACAAGTAATAAATAGAAGCCTGAGCCTGATTCTAGGAATACTATATATACCAAAGTTAATCCAGAGTTGGTTTTTCTGTTTGTTTTTTAACATAGATTAAGCTCAGACAAATCTGAAACTTCGGCTCTGAGAGGGACTCAACACCCTAAAAAAGAATTACCTGCTTAGTACTTTTTGCTGACTTTAAGTAATTCTGGTATTTCTGAACCCTAGTTATTAACAAAGGCATCCATAAACCCTTAAGAAATTACCTCAATCAGGGAAAAGTTGACCTTAAGAATGTAAAAGTTTGAAAGAAAACATTTTCCTTCACAACTTGTTGGTCTCAGATATACTTTCAAAGTATTACAAAGTTGGGTATATTTACTATGTAGACATATTCAATAGCTCTTTCTGTTGAAAATTGTTTCAAGGACACTTTTATTCTTTGCTGAAATGCAAAATTTATCCGTTGATTCATAACTTTCTATTTTTCTGATTGTGAACCTTTTTCACATATAAGACAACTGGCACACATAAAATGAGGCATTTTTATTGTCCTACTTTAATAGATTTGACCAACATTAAAATTTACTCATAAATGGCATCTTCCCAAATTTAACTTTCAACCTAATTATATAAAATACTGCAAAAAATACTTAAAACGGAGAATGTCATTTAACTAGAACACAAAATTAAATAATAACCAAAACTTATGAAAAGGCCCCAAAGATCTAGATGAGCTTGCTGAAAATGAAGTCTCCTAATTTTGGAGACTATCCCAGCTAAAGCTATCCCGAAGCCAGAAGTTACCATGTGAACACAATTCATTAATGGGCCAATTTATTCAACACAAACCAATAAATACTTAGTTATAAAAACAAAGTGATGATGTCTTAATACAGGATGAAACTCACAAATACAGCCCCAGGCCCCAGAACATGCAGGCATCATTAGCAATTTAAAGCCAGCTTGCACAACAGGCACTAGAAGTTTTTGAGAAATTTCACCACATTGGCAGTTGGCAGTTCTACCCTCCATCCTCCACTAAACTAAACCTAGGTATTTAAACCTAAACCTATTTTCTAACCTTTGCCCCACAACCCCAGGAAAAGGGAAAAAATGAAAAAAACTAAGAAATTATTAATAAAATACGGAATACAGGATTTGAACATAGTTTAGGAAATTCACTAGCAGTTTTATTCACTAGCTCATCTCCCTCCTCCCCATCTAGCTCCTCTTAGCACTAATTCACGCTTACACACACACCTTTTTGCTACAGAATTCAGAATGATTTATGGGTTTGGAACATGTTCATACTTAGATTACATGAAAGAATATGGTAGATGGTAAATCTGAGATTGGAAATGTGGTCATCTCACACCTCAGCTCACTGATGAATCTGTTCATTGTTGCCTTTCAGTGTTCTTTGGAGGTCACGGAACCCACTAAGAAAACACCTGTTCGCTGTTTGGACTAAAGAACAACAATACTATAGTATGCTTTTTTGCTTGTTTGTTTAACGAAGGTAGAAAATTCTGGACTGACTCAGAACTAACTTGATCTTTAAAGTCACAGAACTGAAAAGTTACACCGTCACGGAAAATATCTGCTCAAGTATTTTCAGGGATAAACATTCGGATGGCATGGTCTTAACAGAAAAAGGACATCAGGTTTATTTAGTGAACTTCTCTCCAATTCTTCTAAAGTGTAATTTTATAAAACATGCTTTTAATTACTTATAATGGCTTATAAACTTCCTTTGCTTGAAACATTTAGAAGTCTACTCCATTATTCTCTCAAAATAAAATGATCAAGTGCAATATCAACAGATTCTTCAAATCATTCATCTTCCTTTGAAATTATGATTGAGTTCATGTTTGTCATCAAAACCTAAAAGCAACAACTGAAATATTTAGTGCAGTGAGCACAGGGAATTCTTGGAAGGGTGATGGTGCATCAAAAGACTAGCAACTCTGTTCAGACAGAATAATAAAAACCATTTAAAGGACTCTAAATTCATCATCAATGGCGTTTCCGGCAGGAAAACATTTCTAAAATTTCACTTTCAGTTTATTTCTTCATGACACAAACCAAAAGATCTGCTATCTAGATGATTATCTACTGCAAATAGTTCATATAAAATAGAAATCAGCCACCAGGATAAAAAGCCAGGAGAATTCATTTTCTCTGCTTTGAACCTAAGCAGTTTCATTTACTTTTGGAGAAAAATATTAATTAGGAAGTATATAATAGAAAGGAAAAAAAAACCACCATTCCAAAGATAAACTTTTTTTTTGGGGGGGGGGGGTAATTCTTCTGTATGTTAAGAGATAATGAACATGAACTATTAACCAGTACACAATACTCATTTTTACACTGGAAAATAAAACTTTCCACAACAGTCTAATGTTTCATGTATTTTCCTTACAGCCCATCAAACTGCCACAAGTCCCATTCTGTTTTCAACGAAAAGGAAACATTTGTAGCACTAAGTTGGGCTGATGTAAAATACTAAAGCCACCTTAGCCTAAATGGATTGCTTGATAACATTCTTTTAAATGGTCCTGACTGATTGAGGAAATGAGACTGTGAAAGGGAAATTTGATTAAGAGTTAAAATTACCGCTGAGTTCTTTAAAATGTACTAATGAATAATTAATAGCAAATGCAGTTCCTAGGCTTCCTTTACAACAATATTATCAAGTGGAACTGAAAGTACTGCCTGCAGTAAAATCCATCAGCTACGAGTCGCACAGGTGGGTACAGAAGCATACACACATAGAAAGGCATTACAAAATGACACATACACACTGGTATGGACCGTAATAGAGATCTGAGCTTCTATAGATCTGGTTTAAAAAAATCAGCATGGTAAATTTTAGATCAAAATTTACAACTTTAACACATCAACACCAAAACAAATCACCTCTTAAAAAGCTTAAAAGTCAAAAGCACTAAAGAAATCCTTTGTTCCTATGATACTATCTCCTACTCTAACTGGATTCCAGCCTCTTCCTTTGTGACACGGGATTTTATTGATCTCAAACATGTTCACATTCAGAAATTAGTCTCCAAAGACAACCCAAGGGACTGCAAGCCACCTAGATACTACACATCACAGACATCTCAAAAAAAGACAAGAGCTTTGAAAACACATCACTACTTGGTCAGCAACAGTAAATGAAGCTAACCAGGCTCTCTTCGAAACAGACTTTTTCGTTAACTGGCAAAAACGCCAGATCTACTCAACTGGCAATAAATGTTTGACGAGTTCATAAATTTATGAAGGCGTAGATACACCCCAAAATTTCTCCCCTTGTGCAGCTCCCCGTTCATTCATCAACTGAGCACCTAAGCGACCTATTTTCAGGTTACTTTCCTCACACCTGCCAGGTCACTGTCCTGATTGAGAAACTTCTTACTGAAGCAATTAATTTTTAGTGCCTACTAACTGTCCCGGGTGTTTGCATTCAATTTGAAATCTGTTACTTGTTAGACACTGTTCGGTCCTAGATCTTTCAGAGAATTGCGCGTTTATGGCGCAGAGAGGGGAGGAGGCGCGGATCTCCGAGAGCCTGCCCTTTATTCGGAAATGAGGAGATGTGAAAGGTGGAAGGCAGGGCAAATAAATAAATAAATCGGGTTTGCCGCCGAAGCGTTTGCCGGCCGGTACGAGCACCCTTTGTAATGCAGGCCTCCCGGGGCTATCGCCTGCGCTAATTGCTCCAGGGCGCTTTCCAAGTTCAAAAGTTCACCTTTTACGACCTCACAAAAGCTCCTTACACGTTACCAATAAAAACATTCCGCGGCAAACACTGTGGGGGGAAATATCAAACAGATACAAATAAAACACCCCGCAGGGGCAGAGAGCCGGGGGCCGGGGAGGGGGGGCGGGGAGCGGTGGGGGGAGTCGGGCCCAGCCGCAGCCCGGAGGAACCTGAGGACTTGGCCCGGACATGGGGGCAGGGGGGCGCGCGGAGGGTAGGGCTGGGCCAGGTGAGGAGTCGCCCGGGCTCTGGGAGCGCCAAACGGAAGAGGAGAAGTAAGGCTGGGCGGACGCGGGCCAGGACCCGCGGGCGGAAAGAGGAAAGAGGCAGGTGTCCCGGGCCCCCGGTCAGGCCGGAGCGCCGAGGCATCGGTAGACCGGGCTGAGCGGGGCGGGCAGGAGAGCGAACAAGCGGGATCCGAAAACGAACCGCTGAGCCAGGAGCTCTGGGACTAGGGGGTGGGCGCCGAAAGGGAGGCGGGTGAGCAGCCCGGGAAGCGCGGCAGCGCGGAGGGGAGAGAAAGAGGCTCCCAAAAGGTGAGGGGCAGAGAGAACCCAGGGGACGAGGGTGTGGCGGCGGCAGGGCGCCGAGGGAGCGTCCGCGGGGGGGGGGGGGGCACTGAGGAGGTCGGCAGAGGGGAAGGACTCGGCGCTGAAGGGACCCTTTGGGGGAAGAGACCCTCGCACGGGGATCCCCCGGAGGCCGGGAAGGGGAGGATGGGAAAGAGGGGATCACAGGGGCAGGGGACGCCCCCACTGACGGGACTCGAGGTGAAGGAGGCCGGTGGAGAGGGGCCGGTGCAGAGGGGATCTGGGAGAGGGGGGGGAGGATTCGCGCTGAGGGACGGGGCCGGGGGGAGGGGAGGCCTGTGTTGAGGGGACAGAGGAGAGGGGGAAACGGAGGTCGGGGTGGAGGGAACCAGGCAGGAGGAGAATCCGGGCCGGGGGGGAGGGGGGGGGAGTCCCCGCGGGGGGGTGGCGGCGAAGGAGAATCGGCGCTGAAGGGGGACCGGGGTGAAGGTTCGCGCTGAGGGGACCCGGAGCCGCCGCGGCTTCCCAGAGAGAGAGAGTCAGCTGAGAGGACGGGACTCCCCGGGGTAGGGGGACAGAGGCCCGGTTCTCGCCGGGCCGAGACTTTGCACGCCCCTCACCCACCGTTGCGCGGCGGCGGAGGGAGCGCGGCGGGCGGCTCCAGGAACCCCGCCGAGCCCCCGCCGCCTCCCCCTCCGCTAGGCGGCCGTTCGTCCCGCTCCATGCGGTGGAGCTCAGGGCCCGCGCTCGGTTCGCTGCTCCGCCATAACCGGCGCCCTCGTCGCCGTCGTCGTCCGCCAGGGGGAGGGGGCTGTCAGGGGCCAGCGGGCTCCCGGCCGCGGCGCTCTCTGGGCCCCGAGCCGCCCGGCTCCGCGCCCCTCCGCGCCGCGCCCCCTCAGCACTGGCCAGCTCCCACCCCCGACGTCACGCGCCACTGCCACGCACTGCCCTGCGGGGCACGCTGGGAATTGGAGTCCGCCGGGCGAGGCCGGCCACGCTGGACCCCACCAACTGAAGGGGTGGGAGTAGGGGAAAGCGGCCTTAAGAAGGGAAGGCCAAGGCCTGTTGACATCACGAACCCTGATGAAGACTTCCGGTACAAGTTAGATAAAGGTTACTTCAGGACCTTCTCTTTATTATGACTTATCCGTGTGCTCAACCTTCCCTAGGACGCCTCGGATCCCCCCACCCCGAGAATGAGTCTTTCCTAGGAGGCGGATCGCCGAGGAGCCGGGTGAGCACGTGCAAAGAGGCCCAGCCCCGTAGGCGGGTCTCAGAGGGGGCGGTGTTTGTAGGTATTCTCGAGGGCCTTCCTCCGCGGCTTCGGGACAAATTGGACCCGAGATTAAAGGACCGGAGTTTAACTCGAGGTGACCGCGTTCGTATGCAAATGGAATCTATAAAACTCTGCTTTCCGGGGTACTCTTTAAAGCCTTTTTACCTCCGGGTGGGCGGGAACGACTGAAGTTTCTCTTCCTCCTCTTTCATTTTCCCCCTGCCCGAGGAACGGAACAGAATGGCAAACTAAGTTTCAAGCCATTGATGCTATTAAAGAAACTCAGGCTCTTTACTCCTGGGGTCTTGAAGCCCTTCGTTTGAGAGCGTCCTTCCTCGGCCTTGTTCTCCTTCCTTGCTCCTCAGTTTTCCTATCAGTAAAACGGGGTTAGAATAGGGACGGGGTCCAATTGGAAGATCCCAACCTTCCCCACCCGTGCTCCTTGCCTCAGTTTCCCAGAGCATAACCCGGATTTTGCTGTTTCCGCTGCAGAGCCCACCTAGTATGCCACCAGGTGGCGCGCGGCCACCAGCGTCTGGGCTTGCCCTAGGCGTCCGCCTTCAGCGATCCTGTCTGTAAAGGGCTCATCGCGGCCGCCTCCCGAGGTCTAGCTAGGTTCTACCTGGTCAGTTCGAAGACAAAGAATGAGAACACTGATTCCTTGCTCGCCTCTAGTCTCCCGGGTTATGCCGCAGCTTCCTCACTGGCTGCCCACTCCCCCGCCTGTCTCCCACCCTGACTACAACCCCGCCCCACCAATCTGTCGGCTTGTCTATGTCATTGCTTGCTTAATTTTTAAGTTCTTATACTGGCTCGCACTCCTGCCTGATCTGACCCCTTCCACATTTCTCAGCCCTTCCCTCACCTGCTTGGCAGGATGTTATGTGATGCTTCCTTGTATTTACGGGTTGAGTGGCTGTACCTTAACAACACCAGTTAACCTGTACTGCATCCTTAATCTGTAACTGCTACTGTTCTGAGAGTTTGACATTAACGCCATGTTCTCTAAACCTCACATCTGCTTTATGGGGAGCTTTAGCTCCAATATTGCCCCTATCGTATACTGATGAAGTCACCTGTCAGTAATGGGGATTCCAAACCCAGTTGGTCAAACACCAGAACTTAAACACTTGGCTCCTTCACACTGTTGGCTTCACCCAGTCCACTCCCAAACTCCTATTCATCTTTCAAGATCCTGTTCAAATATCCTCTCATGGATATTCATATCTCCAACCAGGGGACACTTAGATCTCCAGTGTGTTCCCTTTATTGCTGTTGAGTTCTCTGTGGACTGTGACAAATGATCTCTGTGTGATTGCTTCCCCACTACTATTCCCCAGCTCCAGAGGGGGAGGGGAACCCTTAGAGTAGGGGCGGTGGGTGGGGGTGTTGAGCTGGGGAGGGAGACAGAGGAGAAGGATCTTCTGGGCCATTCCCTCAGCTCTAGGTCCTAAAATGAGTTAGGATCAGATGGCCTTCCTAGAGCCAAAACTTCCCTTTATCACAGACTTCTGGAGGTAGTAAGTTCCCCTTCCCTGGAGATCCAATCAGGAGCTAAGAGGCACTGCAGAAACCTCTGGAAGGCCTGGGGTTTTTCTAAGTCGACTCCCAAAGATGGACAGAAAAGTTCAAACTCTCAGCCCTTAGAAGCAGCTCCTCCTCTTCCTTCAGCGTCCAGCTCTGCTGTTAACTGCCACCCAAAAACCCTTCTAGATCTTGACTAGTCAAATCCCTGTTTTCTCACTCTCATCATTATAACCCCAACTGCTGAGCACAAAACCTGAACACAGTAGACAATAAATAATCGGGGAGGGGGTGAAAGAACAAATAAAACATATCTAATCTTTTTACTTAATAACTGCTACTTTAGTTACCTCCAAGTCTCCAAGTCCTGGTCTCAGGCTTCCCTTGTGGCTCGATGGTAAAGAATCTACCTGTCAATGCAGGAAACACGGGCTCGATCCCTGATCTGGGAAGATTCCACGTGCATCGGAGCAACTAAGCTGGTGTGCCACAATTGTTGAGCCTGTGCTCTAGAGCCTGGGAGCAGAAACTACTGAAGCCAGTGCGCCTAGAGCTTGTGCTGTGCAACAAGAGAAACCACCACAACGAGAAGCGTGTGCATGGCAAAGAAGAGTAACCCCCACCCCCACATCACGGCTAAAGAAAAGCCATCGCAGCACAGCAAAACATAAATTATACATTTTTTTTACACGAAAGGGAGGGAGGGGAGGATAATAGTTACTACCTTACGGGTTGTTACGAGAATCAAATAAGATGATGCATGCAAAGCATTTAACAAAGTGGCTTAACAAATAGGACTTGTTACTAATGTTATTTAAAGAGTGGTCCTAATTCCCAGTTACTTCTCTTCTGAAAATGCTTCTTGGGAAGAGTCAACTAACACAGAACTGAGAAGGGTGAGGGAAGTGACTGTGTACTGAGACCCCAGCCATTGTTCTAAGCAGGTAGGGTCCTTTGAGGTGTCCTTCACCTACATTGTCCCCCCAACAATCCCAAGAGGTCGACACTTTTCTCCACAAATTAAAAATGAGGCAACAGGCTGAGAAAGATAAAAAAGACTCCCCCCCCCCCCACACACACACATACACACACCAGCAGGACAAATGACAAAAGAGGAAGAAAATTATCTAAGGAGAAGGATCTGTGCTATCACTAAGAGCAAGGCAGGTGTAGGCTCCATCATGAGGGACTTGTCCTATGGTGGTAGAGACAGACACTAATCAAAGGAATCACATACCCACAATCATGACAGAATACACTTAGAAGCTCCTGGTGCTGTGGGAGTGTGTGACAGGGTTTATTTTGGTTAGGGGTGGTGATGGAGGGACCATGAACCTTGAAGATGAAAGGATGAGTGGGAGTGAGTCACACTGGGTGAAGAGAGAGTGTTTCAGGGAGGAGGAAGAGCCTGTGCAGAGGTCCCAAGGCCCTGCTGAAGCAGAAAATGCACTCTAACTGGAGCCCGCCCACCCAGGGGGGAGAGGGCAAGAGGCAAGGGTGAAAAGGAGGAAACCACGGGCTCAGGTTGGAGACTGCCAGCAGGGGGAGCAGAGTCCTCTCGACGACAGCAGCCTCCTCCAGGACCTAGCCAAAGAGTCGGATCCAGGCTGCATGGAGGGAGAGGGCTGGGTAAGGGGAACCCCAACACGTTCTGTTTGTTTTCAGTACATGTCTATTTTTTGAATAGCTGGGACACATTGCAAAACTCCCAGGTTGCAAAAAATTATTCAATGAAAAGCCTTTCTCCTTACTGCATTCCTAAAGGCTGGCTCCTCTCCTTATCCATTAATTGTGTCCATTCCCAGATTTTCTGTGCACATAAAAACACACACCATATTTATTTTTTAAGCTAATCTAGCCCTCCCTAGGGGATCTCTAGTTATGAAAGAAGCCAATTTGTACTGAACGCATGATAGAATGATTCTATCATTCAACTGAAAGTTAAGGAGCACCAGACCTTGTGCTGAGGCAGTGGTTCTCAGATTTTAAATCCCCGGGGAGGGTTGGTTAAGAAACACAGATTGTTGGGCCCCACCTCTAGAGTTTCTGCTTCCTTAGGTCTGGGTTGAGGCCTGATGTTTGCATTTCCAACAGGTTCCCAGATGCTGAGGCCTCTGGTCCGGGGACCAGGGGCTGATGGCACTTTGAGACCTCTGAGCTAGCTGCTCTGTAGACAGAGCACATGGTCTGGGGAGCCTTACTCCTCTCTCACAAGGGAAAGCATGAACAGACACAAAGAAACACATACCAACAGTATAGTTCATAAAGTGATCAGTACTACAAGGAAAGTGAAGAGGGTAGGGGAGTGCAGGAAGGGGAAGTGCTGGAGAGTAGGGTTGGGGGTAGGAGTGGAAGGTAGCAACATTTGAGGGCACAAGTAAAAGGCCCTTTTTGAGCAGTTGACTTTTACAAAGCCTGGCAAACACAAGAGGAGCCCTCCTGGGCTCGGGGGAGGGGAAACCTACAAGAGACCTTATGCAGAGAGCAGAAAGGGGGCTCCACCCCCCACCACGGCGTGCACAGAGCCAGAGGGACCTGCAAAAGTGACTGTGGAATTCGGAATGAGATGCGAGGGGGGAAGTCCGAGACAGGAGAGTTGGAGAAGGGGGCACGATCGAAAGATGTGGTCCCTGAGAGGGTAGAGAGGTGCCGCCTTGGTTTAGGTTACAGAGATCTCAACAAGGTATTTCCGTAGTGAGACCGAAGGCTCCTGGAGCGAGGGGATGGCCAGGGAATTTGAGGAGTGGCAAACACAAACTGCTGCTTGGGAAGTTTTGTTGCCTAGGAAGCGGAGAATCGAGGCGCTTCCTCAGGTGGATGAGGAGGGTGTTTAAATGATTGGAGCTACAGGAGTTTAGTTGGGGGTTGACGGGAGGGATCTCGGAGAGGGGAAAAAATGGACCTTGCAAGAGAGAGAAGTCTGAGCCAGGAGAAGGGTGGAGCTGGCACGGTCGGGGTGTTTGGAGATCTCCAAGACTCGCGTGCCCTGGAAACATCCCTCGTCTGAACTTTACAACCAGCTCCAAAAGGGAAGCAGTCTTTTCCCCATTTAACAGACGGGAAAGTGAAGGTCAGAGAGCTGAAGAGACACTCCCGAGGTCCTACATCTCAAAGAACAGGACCTCACTCGGTGTAGAGAGCCCGCGCTCCTTCACTGCCCCAGCGGCTCCTGCGGGCTCCGAACCAGACCCTTTTTTGTGTGTCCTTGCAGGGATGCCCTTTGGAGAGCCGCCCAACGCAAAGAGGCCCGGCTGGGAGCGGCCCAGCGGGGTGGGGTGCCCCCCTCCATCCTAGCTCCGCCCCCAGCGGCGCGGGAGGGGTCGCGGGGCGGGGAGCCGCGGGCGGACGGGGGGCACGCCGCGCGGGTAGAGCTGACCGCGGCGCCCAGCTCGCAGTGCGGCCCGCGCTTCCCGGCGTCCGCGCGCGCTGTCGGTGCCCGCCGTCCGTGCCGGTCCCCGTATGGCCGCAGCCGCCCTCCCCACCAGGCCCGGGTGCCGGCCTGGGCCCCGGCCGCTGCCTCTGCTTCTGCTGCCTCTGCTGCTGCTGCTGCGCGTGGGCCCGGTGCGCGCGGACAGTAAGGTAAGCGCTGCCCTGCGATCCGGGCGCAGGTCCGTAGAGCCGAGCGCGAGGGGGCGCTGTGGCTGGGGCTGCAGACCGGGCACGGTGTGGGGCCGGGAAGCGAGGACCAGGACAGGCGAGACCCGACCTCGGGCTTAATAGGGAGGCTGCAGGCACCGGGACCCCAGGACAGGAGCGCGTGGGGAAGAAGCGCTGGAGATGGTAGGGATGTTTGGGACCCGGAGCAACAGGAAGGGGCGCTGGACACAGTCCAGTGAGGGCAGAAGATCAGTACTGAAACCCTGAGCCAGGGAGAAGGGGCGCTGGGAGCTTGAAAGGGGTGCAGAAGGCGATGGAGTCTCCAGCCTAGGGAGATGATTCCCAGGAGCGCTGGCCAGGGGCAGCCTGGAGATCTGGCTCGAAGTTTCCGTGGGAGGCTGACGCACGTGGGATAGACCCCTAGGAACTGCTACCTAGCGACTCCAAGGTGTGTAGCAGGCCCTGGGCCAAGGCTTTCAGGCCATACTGGGGACCCAGACCTTCCCCAGTGAATCCAGCTGGACTGGTCCCTCCTGCCTTCTGGTGTTCCTGCCAGAAATCTGCTACACCCTGTAGAGTGGCACCCAGCCTTTTTGGCACCAGGGATCGATTTCGTGGAAGACAGTTTTTCACATTACATTAATTGGGCACTTTATTTCTATTATTATTAATTACAATAGCTTCACCTCATATCATTAGGCAATAGATCCTGGAGGTCAGGGATCCCTGCTCTAGAGGACACCGTGTCTTCAGAAGCGACCAAGATGTTCTCACTTGTGGCTAAAATGTTCTCTGATGTCAAGCAGATCTGGGTTCAAATCCCACCTCCACCTCTCTCTCAAGTGACCTTGAGCCTTTACCTCTCTGAGCCTCCAATTTCCTGACTTGTAAATATGGGAATAATAACATAGTTCTCACTTCCTGCAGTTGATGATCTCTACATGAGAGAGATCAGGTCTGGATAATGCTTAGTACCACTCTGGCACCTAATATGTGCCCAATAAATGCTACTGTGATTTTGAAATCTCACCACAGAGACCCCAAACGGGGGTGAGATCCAGAATGTAGAGAGGAGAAGCACTTTGAGTCAGTCAGAG